CTGAATCAGAGTCTGAGGCTGAGGCTAATGCTGAAATTAATGTTAATATATCTCGGGTAAAAAAAAAGTGAAGAAAGAGCATAACACTATTACCTCCTCACAAAAAAAGAAATCAAAGACTCACAAGTCTCGTAAGGTAAAAGATACAGAAATACCTCCTTTAGTATCACTTCCTATTTCCAAGAAAGAAAAGCATAGTTCAAAGACTCCGACACAGGATGAACAATTCCGCTTAGAAAAAATTATTGAAAAAATTATTGAGAAGGTGCTTAATGAAAAGTTTGGCACTAATACAACCCTCCAGCACCCGCAAAATGGTGATTCTAAAATACCGGCTGATTCTGAGGATGATGACTTCATCGATGGTCCTATGGAGATAGACTTTGTCCAAAGAAAAGTACCCGCCACAGATGTTGTCACTGTTAAGTGTAAAATTAAGCGTCTAGTGATTCCGGCTGGTACTGTTGATCCTGGTGCTAATTTTCCGATTATGTCTGAGGATATAGCCAAACGTTCAAAGCTAGAAATTGATACAAAAGAAAAACATGATCTCAGAGGCATTGCTACTACTCCTACAGAGTCGCTTGGAATTGTTAGAAATGTCCCAGTAAATTTTGCCCTAGGATGTACTATATACGCTGATTTTGCTGTAGTTAAATACCCTAAGCCGATGCTAATCTTACCTAATACACTTCTCGATAAATATAATTATGATCTGCTTGCATCAAAGCGTGAGTTAAGACTAGAATGTAATGGTAAGGAATTTTTTATTCCAATCAATATGCATAAGGTTAAGAATAAGCTTGAGGTGAATTGCGCGAATATTACTCCTGAATGCGATGCTTCCTCAACTCCAGATAGAATTTCGCAAGACTTGCAGGACATAAGTGAGGATGATAATATATTAAAAAAAAAGTGAGTTACGAGGAGCTTGAAAAAATACTATATACCACTCTCAAGTATAATGCAGAAATCAATGAGTATTGTGAAAGACTACAGACATGCTATGACGAACTTCTTAGGAAATAGGCAAGTTTTCTTCTAATAAATTCTTCATTTTCGCTATATTTTTTATGTTTCTTTCAGATATCTTCTCATGCGATACATATAATTCCTCTTTATTTATATCTGAACTTTCTAAATTCACAGAGATTGGTTGAATCAGTCCTAATGAAGGCATCTGAGAGACGGGTGGTTCAGAAATACGAACGGACTTGGACCTGGATTTTTCTTTCAGCTTGGTCCCTCCAGTCTTTTTTTTCTTGCTATCAGTTTCGCTAGGGCTAGATGTCTTTGGAAGTATATCAGCTAATACATAGTCCCCACTCTGTTGCAGACGTTCATTATCATCCTATATATTAGAGACGTGATTTTTATTGATATGATAATCTCTTACTATCATATATGCGGGAACTTTATTTTTAAGGCTTCTGATTTTTTCGACCTGCTCTGGTGTTAAAACACTGGCACCTCGTCGATAATGAGTTTTAAAAATTGGGTAGGCATTAATCCTCAAGTATTTTTAGCAATATTTTAAAACGATAAAAAATGATAAAAAATATTACTTATTGTTTTAGGATAATAAAGAATGATAAAAAACATTATTTATTGTTTTAGGATAATTAAGAACGATAAAATACATTATATATTGTTTTAGAATGGTAAAAAATGATAAAAAGTGATATTTATTATTGGAGAACATTTGATATTAATATGTAAGAAGGTAGACTAAATTATCGATTAATGTTTGACTGAAATTTATTCGCATCTTTTTTTCCTGCTATGTAACTATGCCAATATTATGTCCAATGTGCATATACTAAAAAATATCAATAAAAGGGGATATCGGCTGGGTAGTGCATATGAGCAAGAGCTCGAAAAAAAAATAAGATCCATTACCGAATTTAACTCTGAGATTAATGATCTCAGCGAAAAGCTAGTAGATAAATATAATGAGTGGGAAAAGGAGTATCAGCGAACCTATACTGATATTGGAAATAAGATTAGCCAGTTAAATGCTTCCAATACTAAAGTTAGATCCCAACTTATTTCTGTACAGAAGTCTCATTCTGAGAGTCAACGTGAGTATGAAGCAGAACAAGCCAAATATTCTGCTGAAATCAAATCGCTTAAATCCAATATTAAAACACTAAAGAAAGAGGCAACTTTGACGCAGAAAGCTTTGTCTGCTGACAAAGTCAAGATACTTTCTCTTAAAGCTAAGATAATTGAATTGGAAGGTAAGTTGCTAGATCTGGAACAAGAACATGATTCACATATAGTGGGAGGACTACTAGAGGAGTCAGCCCAAATAGACTCATCTGATCCTAAAGAGATCGATTCACTTAGGCTTAAATTGAAACAGGCAAAGGATGATTTATCCTCAAAAGATTATACGATAGAATGCATAGAAAAGGGATAGAGTCATCACATAACATATTCAAATGGGAAATAAATGCTTTGTCTTCAGCACGAATAAATTCAATGGAGGAAAATTCTTATCTCCGAGAGATAATCTCAAAAAAAGATAATGAAATAGCAGAGCTCTCTAATTTCCCACTTCTACCTATAAACGATTTATTGCAAAAGCTACCAGGTTGGGTCAGCAACAATTTAAAACCCCTCATCTATAAGCTCGGTCTTGAAAATAAAGTTATGGAATTCGATAAAAGTTTTGCTAGAAAAATATATTAGAGGTTTTGCAAGAGGTATTACCCCAGGATGAGATGGTTTCGATAAGCCAGACAGATACTCTACCCAATCAATCTGTTCATAGTTGACCAGCACATTCTGAAAAGTATATTTCGAGTGAAGAAATTGCAGAGTAATTAGGTGGCGCAGAAACAGTATCTTTACCAGCAACTGCTCCTATCATTGCGAGCTTCTTAATATTACCGATATCAATATATATCATACTCATCTTACTACTTCTTGCTATTATATGGATCGTTGGGAAAAAATATGGAATTTATGGAAAAAAAGTAATACCAAGTATTCTTCTAACTGAAACTATTTTTTATCATCTTCGGACATTTCTGAGGTCAGGCTATACAATCGAAAGCCGGAAGTTTGGAGTGATCATTTTAGGCCGGAAGTTCGAAGATAGGAATTGAAGTTAGCTGGTATTATTGCATGAGAAAAAATATGTAAATAATATTATGAGTAGCGTCTTAACGACTAAGTACTTAACTGAAATTGCCACACCTCGCTAAGAGTACTTAACCATATAATTTGATGATCTTGTCTATATCTGCTTCAGACGAATCATTTTTTTATCATCCTATAATCTTGATAACGTTTGATAGCGTGAAATTTCTAGACTAACTATCCTATACATGTATTTCGCAAACCAATTAGTAAATCATATCCATTTTTCAGATTATATGATAACATGTATCTTTCTAAGAACATGGCTTCCGATCTGCGCTTACCGATCTTAGTAACTAATTTATACATTCCATCTCTACAGCCAACATTGATCTTAGAAATTTCTGCGAGTAATGTTGTTAGCTTTAAGCAGATGGATTCCTCCTGCTTGTCTAATGCATTGAAGTAGAAAGACCAATAAGCATCATTTCTCAAGTATTTTACTATTTTATCAGCATATATGGTATTAAATAAGTTTTTTGCATAAGTATTAGCCTCTTTTCACAGATGGAATATAATAGCATAACCTTTTTTCAGACCAGTAGCTCTTTGATATACCCTCTAATCCATTTTTCAGCTGATTTCTGCGCTAAGGCATCTCTTATTTTCGATACCTCATCTTCATCTACTTCATCTTCGTCCATGTCATCTTCATCTACTCCACCGTTATCTGCTTTATTATCATCTGATTTATTACCATCTTTTAACTTTTTTAAGGCTTCCAGCACAGCTTCGGGTGGTGATTGGTATATATCTTCATAATTTATAAAACGTGCACAGAGGCTGACAACGCTATTCAGATAATAACTAATATCGGTCTTTTTACCAAGTTGTTTGGCCACTTCTGGGAACTCCATTTTATCACCTACCTTCTATGATAAATCATTCTCAACTACAACATATTCAAATCGTTCACCTGGTTCTGGGGTTTCATAAGAAAAGGCTCAGGTGTTAGGCCATTTTTTATGAGCCTTTTTGTGTCTGCTTCTTCATGAGTATGTCTATCCCGCATTCGTGACATAAAGCGCTGGACAGGCTTATTATCTTTATCTGGTTTCCAGACAGCAGTTTTAATTAAATCATAAAGATCTGTCTGAGAAATATCCTTTACAAATTCCCTAAGAACATTCTCTATGATTTGATGTAAGGTATGTATATTATTCACCTTTAAAGATTCATCCATAATACACTTTCCTATTTTGCAAAAAAGAGTAGATTGACCTTGTTTCACAATCTCAACCCCCCCCCCTGAATAAAAGGCTTTTTATTAAAGTTCAGCTTGCTTTCATGTGGGATACCATAGTATTTTTTCTTTCCAGTAAATACTACTGAAAATAAGACTTCCTCATATGCCATTTCAAGGTAAGATAATCCGTTATTTTTCCTGAGAAATTTATTAACTTCATCTTAAAGTTTCTCCATTTCTTCCATAAAGATTTCTACCATTCGAGACCAATATTCTTCTTTCGAGAATCCAATACCACTATCATATTCCTCATCGCATTCCTGAAAGCATTCTTCTGAACAGACTATATATAAAGAATCGGTATCTCCATATTTTTTCTGTAAACCCTTGCTTTCAACGAAATCTGCAACAAGTTTGATATTTCTCTGTCCAGCTGAAGTGACACCTCCAGCCAATTCACGTAAGAAGAAAGAGGATTTATTATCCCTAGCAGTATCATAAAATGAATTCATATACACTTTAATAGCATTTTGTTACGTATTAAAGCAAGAATAATCAAAACAAACTGAATTATATTCTGCCATATTTATTAAAAATAATATTTAAATATTTTATTTAAAAAATAATTTTATACAATATTAAATGATAAATTTTTATAAATATTTAAAAAAGTTTATTTGCTTTAAAGTTATTATATGCCTGCCTAACTATGTGATTTTGAGATATAATTGTATATATTTAATTATTATTTTCTATAATAAATAAATTTAAATAATTATTTAATAATAATTTTATTACTAAGCATTTTTAATATTTTATTTAATAATTATAGTTAATCTTTATTTTCTATTTCTAATATTTCTGTTTATTTAATCCATAAATTTTAATTTGATTTAAAATAAACTTTAAGATTAAAAGAATATAAAAATTTTGATATACAATTACAGTATACCTTTATATAGTTACAAAGTTGGATACACATAAAATGTGTGCTTATATGGAGGTTATGGAGGTATGACTATAAATTGAATCCCTTTATATAGTCACATTATAAATAATTTTATGATATTATGATTAAATAGAAATATATTATAAAATTATTTCAATAGCAATATTAAATTTATTTATTTTATTATAATGCAAAATTAAAAGTTATATTATATTATTAACTAAAAAAAAACTATTAATATCTTTTTGTATTTTATTTTCAAAAATTTTTTGTTGTATAATTTTTATATGTTTTCTAAAAATTTGTACATCTTTTATTCATTTTCCTATTCTTTTAAATATTGTAACCATATTTTAAGACCATTAAAAGCTTTATTTATTAATACTACATAATATTTTTGATTAATTTCATCATCTAATCCAATTTTATTATGCTCTTTTAAAACAAGCTATATAATTTCAGCATCTGTTAATGGTTCTTCTATTAGAATTGTTAAATCAATAATTTTTAAATATTAATTGATATCAATTTTTAAAGATTAGTTTGTAAAAGAGTTTTAATAACCTCTTGATTTTCCTGATTTGATATATCTTCTGCTATTAAAGCTCATTATATATCATCATTATTAATTATTGGTAAAATACCTGTTTTTTTATACAATTAACAATTGTTTATATTTTTACTAGATCCTAAGCTTGTGCAGCATATTTCATAGCTTCTTTGACATTAATTTTATTTTTATATAATATTAATTTATAAGAATTATATATATTAATATAATATAAATAAAATTAATTTTAAAATACTTAACTTGTTTAAATCTACATTTGTATTAAATTGATAAATAATATGCTGAATATAATATTATTTATAAATAGCTTTAAAACTATTAATAATTTCTGCATCTATAGGCTATAAATCAGTAGTTGTATTAGGTAGAAAAAATTTTATCCTAATTAAAGATGAGGGACGAAACTCAAAAAAAGCAATTAATAAACAGCTGAAATTATATTAAAACATAGTGAGGGGTATGATGAAACCCTAAAATCCAAAATTAGCTAAAACTATATTAAAAATATAGTAAAGATATGACGAAATTATTTTGAGGAAGTTTCAGCTGGCATCTTTAATCCTAATATGTGATAAAATTAAATTATCTTGTTCATTTTCATCAGGACTAAAATGAGATGATGCATTATCTATAAGTAATAAAATTTTTGATTTTCTATTTTAAACCTATTATTAATAGATTTAAGCTACTCTTCAAAAATATCACTTCGCATCCATGCTTTTAGATTAGCATAATATATATATGAAAGTATATTACAATTAATTTGATAGAGACATCTAGATTTTTTGAAGAACTAATTACAAGTGGCTTAAGTTTTTCTATATTAGTAGTATTTGTAGTCAAAAGAATAGTAATATAGAATTTATCCTAAATAAAACCTTAATTTTATTATTTATTTACTCATTTTATATCTGAAGTAAGAGCAGATGCTAAAGTTTGATAAAAAGTACTGTTTCATCTGCATTAAATATATTTTCAGGTAAATAATCTTTTAAAACTTCTTGCAATTTATTTATTTCTTCAAAAAAAGTTTCTAAAGATATACTATTTGCTTCACTATAAAAGTGATATTTATGAATATTATTGCGTCTCTTAAATTTGTATCCAACTATTTAAAAAAGAGATCTTTTCATACGAAATATTAAATTGTTGTACAAAAAAAAGAGCCTTTTCTTTAATTATCATTTCTGAAATCATAAGATTATTAGCATTTGCATTTTGTAGATATTTAACTTCTTTATGATGAAAAGTTTTTGTATTATTTGATGATAGAAGAATTGCAAGTCATTTACTTTTTTTTTTAATAATTGAAATTGTTGACCTATCAACATTTAAGTTTTCATTTTGTTCATTAAAATAGTCAGTAATTTATGTTTATATTTTATTTTTATTCTCAGGTTTTATAGCATATACATATATTTATCATTTTATATTGTAATTTATTGCAGAATACAATTTTTTTGCACTTTAAGCAGGTAGCATTTTAAGAGAAAAAAAAGAAATTTTTTTTAAATATATAAGAACATGAAAAAGATAAAGTTTTAAAAGGTTTTAAATATGTAAAAAAAGAAATATGTTTATCAATCATTTTTAATTGATTTTATAATCAAAAATATCCATTAAATTAAATTAAATTAATTAAATTTTACATCATTGTGAATAATGAAAGAATGTTTTTTTAAAAAAATAAAAATTTGGGGTTTTCTTAAAAATTTTTTTGGATGTTTCTTTGTGAAACAAATAAAAATGCATTTTGATTAATACTTTGTTATACAAATGATATTATTATATATATTTGTAAATTAAATATATTATTTAAATAAATAATTTTAAATTTTATTTTATTTTAATTTTATTTATTTACATATTATAAATAAAAATTTAATAATTCTTATAAAATAAAAAATTCTTAATAAAAAATTCTTTACCATAATATTTATCTTAAAAATCAAAAAAAGCTGATTCTGTTTCTAAAATTTAGAAAGAAGTTAAAAAAGAAATAGAAACCTCACAAAGTTTTCTCTAATATAATACTTATCTTAAAATCAAAATTAATGAGAGAGAGTCATTCCTATTCCTAAAAATTTGAAAAAGAAGTTAAAAAAAGAATAAAAAACTAAATAAACCTGTTCCCAATATAACACTTATCTTAAAATCCAAGAAAGCTGATTTTATTCCTAAAAAATTTAAAAAAAGAATGTTAAAAACCTCAATAAAACCTTCTTTAACATAATTCTTATCCTAAAAATCCAAGTTAATAAGAAAAAGCTGATTCTATTTCTAAAGATTTAAAAAAAGTTAAAAAAAGTCTAATAAATCCTTTCCTAATACAAACCTTATTTTAAAAATAATAGAAGTTCAACATATATATATTATATTTTTGTATCTAGCAAAAAAACAATATTTACATAATATTATTAAAGTATAGTATAAAATTACCAACAGTTTACATTATTTGATCACAGTTAAAAAGCTTATTAATAATTGTTTTTTCATTTGAGTCTTTTCTTCGTCTAAATTTCTTTCTTTACCTAAGTTCTCTTTATTAGAAACTTCTTATTCATCTAAATTTCCTCCTTCATTTAACTCTCCATTTTTGTATAACTCTTCTTTACTTATTTCTTCGTCTGACTCACTTTTGCTCGCTTCTTTACCATTACCTATATCAAATTCTATCTGAAAATATTCATTTCTTCATTAGTATCATTATTAGTTTTGGCTGCAATATAATCTCCTAAAATTGAAATATTATTAATAAAGACTCATATAATACATATTATAAGACAATTAGCAATATTTACCATTTGGTTTGATACTGTTTTCATATAATAACGAATGCAAAGAAATATTAAATGTATTAGATTATTGTCTAATATAATAGCATTATTTATTAAGGGAAACATAGCGATTTTGAAACATGAAAATAAGATAATATGAATAAAAAATATATACTTTATTATTTTTTAAAATATTTAACAGTAAACATAGTAAACATGTTCTTTATTAAATGGTAAAAATTAAAATACATGAGAAATTATACAAATGTAATTTACTAAAACTGGAAAATGTTTTATTTATGTGACTAGCTTTCTATTTAGTTAAACAAACTTTCTCTTTATTGTTAAAAGTAGCTAAAATAAACTAAATAACTAACTTTCTAATCTTACATATAAACTTTCCCATATATAGTTTCTTATAGTTATAATTATCATATTATTATTATTTAATAATATGACTAATTCAATACAACTAATTAAAATGTGACTAAAATAATTAAATTCTATTTCCTATGTCAATAAAAATTTTTATATTATATATAATATATTTTTCCTTTCTTTAACAGAACATTCTTTTATGTAAAAATTAAATTTTAATCTTTTAATTTGTCATACAGTGATTCTCAAAAGTTATGCATCACTTTTGCATTAAATTTAAAGTATAAATCACCATATATAACAATATGAATTTATATTTGTTTTAAAGGTTGAATCTCAGAAAATATTTTAAAATATTTTTTTTTGCCTAATTCTTAGTATAAACTTAAATAAATTGTCTGGTTTGTAAAATCATGTATTTTCAACTTTTTTATTTAGAAATGCTACAATAAAATAAATGCTAAAATTCGATTGTCTTAGTGATTTTGAACTCGTATTTCAAAAATTGTAAAGAACGGTTCAGTAGTTGT